AATGCAAACGCACGCGTTAACTAGAGTAGCGTAAACGCACGCGTGAACTAGAGTAATGCAAACGCACGCGTTAACTAGAGTAGCGTAAACGCACGCGTGACCTAGAGTAACGCAAACGCACGCGTGAACTAGAGTAATGCAAACGCACGCGTTAACTAGAGTAGCGTAAACACACGCGTGAACTAGAGTAATGCAAACGCAAGCAAACGCACGCGTAAACTAAAGCAACGCAAACGCAAGAAAACGCACGCGTGAACTAGAGTAACGCAAACGCAATCAAATTAAGATACACAAGTGCATTGTAAAACTTGTTCAATGTCAGACATTGTTGGTCTTGCATTTGCTTTTCTGTAGTTCACGTTTGCGTTCTCACTGGTTCACGCTTCAAATGAAAAAGTTTTCATCTCTTGCGTTTGCATTTGCGTTACTTTTGTGAACCAGGCTTGTCCCGGGCATTTCCGCTTCCAAAATAATGGTAAATTGCCCAGCAGTAAGCTGCAGTAATATAAAGCTGCTATTCAAAAAACGATAGCCCACTGAAAGCTGGTAAACCAGCTAGATTTCAATTCCAAAGATTTAGTGGCACGCAGTCGCTCAGGTTACTGGGGAAGGTAGCAGTGTTTGTACGACATCTGGGTGGTGTGGTGGTTATTTTACTTCTCGCCTCTCACCGCTGTGTCCGGGTTCGAGTCCCGGTTTAGACAGGATCATAAGTGAATTGAGTTTGTTTGATGTGTGCGGGTTCTCTCTCTTGCCACGAGGGTYTTTCTCCTGGTTCTCCGGTTTCCTCCCTCCGTAAAAATCAACATGTGAGTTGAGTGTAGTATATAGAGAATGTAGTGGTAGTGTGTGTGGAGCGAACATCACGGAAAAGCCTTTTGTGATCATTGTAAGATATAACATATATACGGTTTTAAGCATCTGGGGCTGGTAAATATATGAAATTCATTCAAATGATTAAGACAAGCTTTTAATAGACTCGATATAGTTCATTCAAAGAAAGTTAAAGAAAAATATTTTAGATCAACATTAGCCAAATATCTAACGTTTTATATGTTTTTCTAGATGAGAGGTCACAATGTCGTTGTCTTGGACAAGTTTGGTGTTTATCAGGACAAAAGGGTATTTGACACGCATGGTGATAAGAATGCAGGTGTAAACATGAGAAATTACTTGAACAACCTTCCAAATGAACGCATTGTGCTTATCTCAATAATGGACAGCGGTGATGTTTACGTAGGCCACGCAGCAGCAGCATTAAGATCGGTTGGTGCTGTTAATCCCACTGTTGTCGATTATCGAACACCATGGCTTCTGGTAGGGTACAAAGGAGGTTCGCCATCTTGGATCACCGAGAAGTCAGCAGACCAATACAAAGGACCTATCCAAGCTAACGTTACAATAGCAGTACCAGTTACCTGATGGCTTGGTATTGTATGCATGCACGTATATAATGTTATAGAGTACTTGTCTTCTCGTCATAATACCATTACCAGGTACCCGATGGCTTGGTATTGTATGCACGGCATGCACGTATATAATAAGGTTATAGAGTACTTGTCTTCTCGTCATAATACCATTACCAGGTACCCGATGGCTTGGTATTGTATGCACGGCATGCACGTATACACTCCATTGAAGAATCGTTGTCGGGTTCAGAAACATAGAACATAAAAGCTGAGACCGAAATGGCACATGGGAAATGA